TATATATATATATATATATATATATATATATATATATATATATATATATATATATATATATATATATATATATATATTTTTTTTTACGTTTCTGCCTCATATCCATTGTTAACAAATGCATCAGATATTGAAATATGTCATCTTGCCTCTAGAATGACGTCTTGACGCCGAATCTAATCAGAAAATTCGTCACACAGTTACGTGCTGACGTTTCAACTGTCCGCCCAATCTGTCAATGGCTCAATTATATCCTCCAAAAAATGTGTAATTCTCCGGAAAATTGGACTAGCATATTTCATCGTGGCCGGCGGGACAAGTATAACATCCATGATCACACGACCCACCATCAATTTGTGGCGCATAACCTTTGAAGGGTAAAATCTCATCTGGCAAAGTGGAGTGAAGGGCGTTTAGGCATGAAGTAGTCCCGTGTCCCCCAGTGGTGCTTACCATCCAGCGATATCCCCACGCCAGCCCTGCACCTGCACCCCCGCCCCGCCCCCACGCCCACCACCCATGGCTAGGAATTAGTCTCCATCAGCAGTCTCCTGCCCGTGTAATGTGAAGAGGTGTGGGCAAGGTGTTGGTTGAGGACCAGGTTTAGGGAGGACAGTTGATGCCCCTGGTGTTCTGCTACCGTGATATGGCATGTCCTTGTGCTTGCCTTCCTCAGTTGCCCCTAGCCAGTTCAAGTAAGATATAATAGGATATATTTGAGTCTACGTTAGGGTTCCATAATTTAGAATTGTTAAACTTTCACAACTCATGATGCCCAGGTTCGATACCAGGGCCACGTAGGGTTGATGAGATGTTATTGATTATTATGATGGTCAGACGCAGACGGCCAATATCACTACTGTCTCGAATTAACAAACCGCTTGCGTCTAGGATGACACTTTTTACTTTCGTTCGTAAAGTTTTAGTGGAGTAGCACTTGGTCCCATGAGCTCGCCAACACCAAGTACTGTACGTAGAGGGTATTAGCACTGACTGGAAATTGTCGTGTCAAGTCCTCGCCCAGACTGACCACCGATTAATTAATTATTGGAGGTAAGATTTCCACCACCTACCACAATCCACCTGACCTCCCCCTACCACAATCCACCTGACCTCCCCCTACCACAATCCACCTGACCTCCCCCTCCCACACTCATTATCTGCAGGTGTTACATTTTACGGATCTTAGCAGTTTCTGTTTCTTGAATATTGTTGGTAGACAATTTTCTGTTACCTTATTTATATAAGTATTACTTAACAAAATCGAAGAATTGCTACGTAAATTAATCGATTTTTTTTCTGTTCGTACCCTAGCGTCCTCAGTATCCCCACCTCTACGAATCACAATTGGTCGGCGTCAGATATAGCTCGGCACTGTACACTTTTAATCAGCCTCGGTGTGACTGTGTAGCAATGTGGTAATAGGGTGTGTCATAGGAGGGAAGATCAGCTAAAACTAATGGCCCATCACTTTTTTGGTAGATTTTAGTGTATATAAACAGAAAATAATTTCAGTTTCAATATTTTGCAACCTTTTGCTAAGTAAGTTTTAGCGTGAAATTTATCGAAAATCTAACGTACAGCTGCATTAGTGCATTACAATTAAATAGTGAACATTGCTTTCTGACTTCATTCTTTAACAACCCAACTAACAATATTTTTTCTGTTTCAGATTCTGATGCATTTATAAGTTGATAATATTTGCGATGGCTGCTTGTGTCAGGACGAGGAACCAAAAATCCAGCCATCTCAGTCACTATCTTGGGTCTGGGAGAGAGCTCCTGAAGTCGGAGTTGCCTACATTGAGAGATGCTTTGAGATACGGTGTTTTAATCAGGCAAATCAGTGAAAAGAACCAAAGAACTTACACAAAGGCATTGCCAGTGATATGACCAAAACTGTCTTGGCACAGTACACTCTGGCTAACGCTCAGTTCAAGCCTCCAGTCATAACAAGTCAGAAGAAGATTAGTGAGAGACTGCTAGCCAGTTGGGAAAAGGCAAGAGATATCTCTCTTGGGAGAGGAAAACTTGCAGTTTAGGACAGCTTTGCCAAGCAACTGGACCAGTTATTTGACATAATTACTTGCAAGTGCCCAATTGGTCTCTGTCCTGAGTTTGGATGCGATCGTGACTGTAAATCCGAGGCCCAGATCTCCTGTATTTGCAAGCGTGAACTGAAGATTCCTGTGATCGAACTGGCATTTGTCAAAGCACAGAGAGAGAAGACTGGCAGTATAGGGGCTCTCATGATTTCTAGCCAAGATATTCCGGAGTCCAAGAGACAGGAGGCTGCCACAGAGAGACAGAAGAGAAGAGTTGCCGAGGAAAAGAGACTTGAGAAGGCCCAGGGTGAGGCAAAAAAGGCCGATGATTGGAGTCAAGCTGATTCAGAGTTTAATGACTTCCCCATGGCTGATCCGAGTGCTGACCAGGAGAATGGTGACTTTGTCCCTAACCCAGAAAATAATGATCCCAAACCTTCCAGGCATAAGATTCGAAATAGGAAAGATATCCCGAGCATAGCTCTGGCCAGCATGCGACACCACACTGGTCTCAGATAAACTGCAGAGATAGCAACAGCTGCCTGGACTGACGGTGGTTTGATAACACCTGATGATGTTCACCTGGTGATAGATCATAACAAAGTAAGGAGAGCTCAGGAGAAACTTGTCAGTAACCTGGAAGAGGAGTTTGATAAGGGGATAAGAGAAAATGGAATCAATTGTTTGTTCTTTGATGGGAGAAGGGATGACACTAAAGTGTTCATGAAAGTTGGAGATTCTGACTAGTTGTTCCCTGCCATGGTGAAGGAGGAGGCTTTTCTCCTGCTGCAGTGAACGGGAGGGCTGTTGTGGCATTTCACTCCAGAGAAAAAGATGACATCAGGAAACCAGCTGAGATAGTGGCAGATAACATTGTGAACTGGCTCAGAGAGGAACGTAGACCAGACCCTGCAGGCCATTGGAGGGGACAGCACCAACACGAACACAGGGTGGCAAGAGGGGGTCATACAGTGGATAGAGCGGAAGATTGGGAGGAAGCTGGTCTGGATTGTTTGTGACCTCCACACCAACGAGTTGCCACTCAGACATCTGATCCAGGAGCTGGATGGCAAGACTCTTTCAAACAACAGATGGTCTGGTCCTCTTGGCAAGATGCTGGACTCTGCCACTGAGTTAGAAATAAATCCGAGCTTTGAAAAAGTCACAGTTGGCCCTACACTCGTTGAGCTTGCACATACTGTCATTGACGACCTGAGTACTGACCAGTACTATGATTACATGATTTGCAGTGCCATCAAAACTGGGGTCATGCCTGATCGACTTGCTTACCTGCAGATAGGTCCAGTCTCACATTCTAGGTGGCTCACAACGGCTCTCAGGTTCTGCAGAATTTGGGTGCAGCTCATCATAAACTGAAGAGACCAGCTTCACAACCTGAGACTTGTGTCCAATTCATCGTGAGTGTCTACTTGCCATTGGTTCAACTTTTAGTCCAAGTCATCGTTCTCCAAAGGTCCGAGGCATGTTCTCTTCCGGCAGGCTCCTGAGGTGTCAGCCAAGGAGGTTGTTCAGATTGTGGAGCAGACTGTGGGGAGATCTTTACCGGCATCTTCATCCCGAGCAGTTCTGCAGACAATGCTCTGCAGTAGGATGGGGAGAAAGAGTGTGATCAAAAAGATGCTTGGATGCTGTGAGACTTATATGAAGTTCCTGGCGCAGCGTTCCTTCAGGGGTCAGGAAGACTCCTGAAATCCAATCTAGGTGCCAAGACCCTCACTGATCTCCACTTATATCTGGATAACATCCAGAGCTGTGATGAGCCCCCTCTTACCTGCAGCCTCACCAATGTTCAAGTCAGAGTTTTCCTGGACAACCCCATGCATGTCCCTGCCTGGCCCTCGCACACCCAGAGTATAGAGCGTTGTGTACAGCAAGTGAGCGAGGCCAGCAGTCACGTGTACAGCCAGGAGAGGAGGGAAGGCTACATCCGAGCTCAGGTGGTCAGCAGGGAGGTGATGAGTAAAAACAGAAGCAAGAAAGACATGTTCTCTATGGTGTGCAACAACACGAATTAAGTAATGTAGTAAAACCGGTTTTTTGTATTTGATGATTTTGTTTTCTAAAGGCATATTAAATTTAATAAATGTGTATCCAGAATCATTCGTTTCACTATTCTGGATCATTTTCATCCTAATAAATTAACCTGATACATTTACTTTACTTTAAATAAGCTATTTAGTGGTGTTGGTAAAAGGGTGGGAATACTGAATTTTCATAAGATTTCAAGTTAAAATTTACCTAGCAAAAAATGAAAACTTTTCAAATCTGAAGATATCACATGATTCTGCACATAGAACTACATCATTAATACCATGGGCCGATTTTTCAAACTAAAAAAAAAAAAAAATTCGCCTCCGTATGACACACCCTAATGTGGTAATGTTTTTGTTTTTTAGTTGGTGTAAAGTTAGTGTTTTAATTTCGGTAGTACTTAAACATGCCATACAGAACACTACGCCATATTCTAATATTTTTTTCTTTAATGCAGGCACTTTTGTAGAGTAAAAAAATAATTACTATTGACCTCAGAATATCTCCTAATATCAATTGCACATGGCTTCAATATGGCCTCAAAATGCCCACGATATTGGCCAGATTTAAAAAAAAAATCTGACGTACCAATTGTCAGCAGGAAACCAGAGACATCTGTGTTTTACTCGCGACAAAATTGAATAGCCATTAAATATGAAACTCTCCCCAGTCCATCTTTACGAAATTTGTGTTTGTTCAATAATTAGAGAAAGACAAATTACAGCTTCTTATGAATGTCCAGGTCATGTATGATATAATTAGGGTCTTCCAACTAATTTACATATAAGAGCTGTGGCCCATATTAAAGTAATAAATTGTGGAGGGGTGTACATAAACCTGTGTCAGTCTAATCTTCTTTGTAACATACATATCCATGTTTTATATTAATACTGTACTCCTCTTCCAGATTTGGAAAGTGAATGCTTCCCTGCAATCCCAATCTCAGAGGCAGAGGGCATTGTCTCCACCCCCAACACCTCTACCACCACCACCACTACCACTCCTGCCTCTACCATTAGATCTGCCATTTCAAACATTGTCAAAGATGGCAGTGATAAAACTCCCTCACCTACCAGCTGTGTCGTCACATCAACACAGGCTAATTTGTCCACATCTATCAACTCCTTCCGCAAAACTGTAGCGCCATCCCCTCTATCACCACTACTGTCACAGCCACCTTCACCAGAGGGCAGTGGCAATGATGCTTCAGCCTCGAGTGGGTCCCCTTCTAACACTGTCGTCAATGTGTCCTCCATCAAGGTAAGCTTCAAATTAAGTAAGAATTGTGTAACTTACAAAATCGACTTTTTTCCATGCAACATTGAATAGAATTCATGACTAGCTAGCACTCCATAATCTCCATTTCCATCTTAAAGACTTTGAAAGACAGTACCTGTAACTGCTTTGAGCTTTACATTTACCGTTCAAAATTATTGGCGCAAAAAAGAATAAATGAAGTGACGATTGAGAAGTTTTCCTGCCCCAAAGACTATATCTTTTCCACACTAACCTGGCTCATAAGCCCCGCCCCTCGTCTATAAGCTACAAATTGCTGATTGGTTCCCCTGAGCCTCTCCCCCCACCCAGATTGCTTGTGTATAAGCACATATTTATATCGACCTTTTATGATAAATATTTAAAAAAATTCCAACATCCTCTCTGAAGTGCTAATGCCTTGAAATAATTTGTTTGGGGTCCGACTAATTATTTGAATGAAGTTTGATGAAGATCACTACTAGTATTTGGTGTCACGAAGTCATAAAAATTGGTAAACTTAATTTAATCTGAGTTAATAGATCGAAAGTATGTACCTAACCTAACCTAACACAACTCAGATTAAATTAAGTTTACCAATTTTGAAACTTATGACACCAAATAATAATCGAAAAAGTGATTTGGCAGTCCGATTTATCGACCATTATGGCTACATTTGGCTACATTTGGGTAATTAGTCGGACCGTTTGCTTGTGAGTCCAGATATTTATCATTATTTTAGATAATAACAAGTCTCCATACCAATAATTGTGACAACATTTAGTTTGAATTTCTATGAACCAATCAGCTATTAGTATAGGAGAGGGCGTATGGGCCAGGTTAGCGTGGAAATACTATAGTACAGTAAGTTTATAAATGTTAAATTATAAATAATTACCAAGGAATATTCTTCACCACTCTTATACTATATATATCTACTACTACATTCTGCTTACAGATATTTAGTTATCAAGTGTGATCCACTCCTCAATTTCACCAACACTGTACAGTAAGGTATACAGTATAACTTTTATCATCTCTGTTTGCTTAATATGTTCAGCCTTTTGGTTGCCATATTCTTTCAATAAACCATTAATTATTATTATTACTAGTGTTATTGTTATTATTATTATTATTATTTATTTTTTATTTATTTTTTATTATTATTATTACCCTGTATACTGTATATTCAGAAGTGTAGAACTGTAGATCATCAAAATAGGTAAACATGAAAACTCATCCAACATGGAACACTTGTGAGCTCACACACCTGTACTGTACAGGTGTGTGAGCTGGGTTGCATGATAATAAGGAAAAGGACATATTCAGTGGTTTGATGGTGTAATTTTAAAGGTTATGCTGTATATTTATATAACCTATTATCCTAGCCAGATAATTTGCAAACTTGATTTTTCACAGATTATTTCTGCTATTCGGTGTTTGTTTTGTTTTTGTTTTGTTGTTTGTTTTTTATACGTGGATTAGCCTCCTTGGCACAGGTCACCGACCCACATCGCGGGGGAGAAAATGTAATAATAATAATAATAATAATAATAATAATAATAATAATAATAATAATAATAATAATCCATAGTAAATAAATTTTATAATAAAAAATACAAAATTAAAAATATATTAATAAAATATCATTAAAAATAATAATAATAATAAAAAAGAAAAAAAGAAATAAATAAAAAGTGAGAAACAATTTACAGTACAGGTATATATGTTGTGTTGTCAATAGTAAGAGAAACAATTGAGACCCTGCAATTGTGTGTAAATGAGGCAGAAAGTCAGATCATCAACCTGGGACTTGGTCACATATGGCAGCAGAGTCTACCATTAGACAACACATTATGCTTCCAATATCTTCCCAGGCGGTTATATGAATAGCCATTAATATCATATGACTAATTTGTCAGAATTCTGGAAATAACTGCATTTAATGTATATGAAATATAATGTACAGGTTTTCATTAGTTGACTCATGTATTTCTTACAGTACCGTAAGTGATTTTCAAAAGCTAGAGATGGCTCATGTTAAACACAAGAACATTCAGCACTCTGATTCAAATTGGTAGTCATTATGATTTTATTTTTTACTTCAGTACTGTACTTGACATTTGATACAGGCATTGTGAGGCATACATGAATTATGTTCTTTCAGGAAATTGAAGAATCTGTATGTTTTGGTTTTTTTCTCTGTCACCTTGTTTTTCTTATTCTTTTTTTTTCTTGAATTTCTGACCTTGTTGTCTCCTGCCTTTTACTTTCAAGCCAAGAAGGATACTTATAACTGGTGGAGTTAGACATAGCTGTAGAATCCCAGTATCTGTAGGAAGAATATGAAGTATGGTAATCTATATGTGTATCTAACTTGCAGACAAACATGGGTTTGATGCGTCCCAGCGCAGTGGTTGTAACACAGCGGAGTGGTCCACCAGTGGTCCACTCCTCAGCTTCACGCCTTGGACTAAATTCCCTTACACTGAGGCTTCCAACCACGTCCACCTCTTCCATTAGCAGCTCCAGCTCCTCTGATGCTGGTGAGAATTTCAAGTTTCTATAAAAACCAGAACACATGTACTGTACTGTATAATAGTGTTTTATTATTAAAAATGTCAACATTTACATACAGTGATCCCTCGGATAACGAGCGCCTCGGTTAACGAGATTTCGGTTAACGATTTACCTTCCATAAGATTCTTAACTTCGGTTAACGAGCAATCCCTCGATTAACGAGTTTTTTACGAGCCGACTTCAACATGTTTTCGCTTGCATTTGGCGGTCCACCAGCTGTAGTATTAGTCTGCCAATACAGTAATCAGTTTTAGGGCTTAAATTCCTTACTATTTTAGTAAATATCAAGAAGTTTATACTATTCAATAATTTTAAAAGTTTAATATTAACTTTTTTAGTCATTTTAACAATTATTGAACATAATTGAAGGTAAAGAAACTAGTTTCTGGCGTGCCATCCAGCCTGTTAACACACCAGACAGGCGTTAGTCTCTCTCTGTTTTCACTGGAGGTAACATCTTGCTTGAGACTCTCTTCAACTAAACGCTTTTTTCTGTGTTTCCAAGCAAATTATTGGTCATTTTGAAATTTATTTTACATATTGACAATATATAATGCAGTGCAGTGTTGATTTAAAGAAAATATTCTTGAATTACACCAAGAGAACTAAAATTTTATGGGTGAAATGGTGCCATGGGGTGACTTCTCTTCTACCCCAATGCCTTCTCTTCTCCCTTCTCCTCCACCCCCATTCTAATTCCCATCATCATCCAGGAGCCTTCTACATACACACCTCAAAGTAAGTGTACTTTTCTGCCGTTTTTATTGAATTTAGGCAATTTTCGGTGAGCTAGAACCAATTACCCAAAAACCCATTGAAACAATGGTTTCGGTTAACGAGTTTTTCGGTTAACGAGCAACCTTCTGGAACGGATTGTGCTCGTTAAACGAGGGACCACTGTACTCCTGTCCTGTATGTATCATCCTACATGGTCCACTGTATGTATAGGGGTATTTACTGTACTGGTATTATTTTTTAGATTTAACTTATGCGAATAATATCAATTCTCTCAATTACTCCTGTAAATGACCTGACATTTTTCATATTTTGATGATTAACTTTCAACTGCATTATAAACATTATGCTTCTGATGAACAGCTGACATGTTTAACTGGGTCCAGCTGATCTACGACCTTCCAGGTAACTTAAAAGTTTTCATAATAATGTGTAATTTTGTATCTTTTTCCAGGCTTTTACATGCCACCAACTCCACCCTCATGCTCAAGTAGTGACAGTGAATGTGGAAGCCAGTCTCCAACCCGCACTCCCCCATTGTACGAGACACTCACACCACAGTTCTGCAACCCACGGAAAAACACATCAAGAATAATGGTGTCTTCACGTCACCCTATCAACACACCCCTAATCTCAACCCAACCTGTAAGATTCTCAAGTTTTTTTGTTTTTTTTTAAGATATACAGTAGATTTTTTTAACTAAATGCAAAAGATATTTTAACTTTAGTTCTGTACTGTATGGTACAAGCTGATTGACATTTCATAAATTTTAAATACTACCTGGTACTGTACAATATAAGTTATAATCTGAAATTGTGCTTTATGATGAAGCAATACTTATGCTAAGATCCATAGACTTAATGATACAGTAATTTCTGGGTATTGTCATATAAGAGTTTTATTTATACTGTATAGTACTGTATAAGGAAGTAGTTTACTGTTGAAAAATAACACAATTTCAATAAAAATTCCACCTTGCCCTTGCATTTCCTCCAACATATTATGTCCAAAAGAAACTTTTGAAGTAGGAGAATTACTTACAGTACTGTACTGTATTCTGAAGCTCATATTTTTGTTTTACAGAAAGGTGCAACTGGAGCCCTAAACTTGACAGAGGAGGAGAAACGTACACTCTTATCTGAGGGTTACAACATTCCTAGCAGACTACCACTTACAAAGGCAGAAGAAAAGTCCCTAAAGAAAATAAGAAGAAAGATAAAGAATAAAGTGAGCCATGACGTTTTTATTCTTTGTAGTTAATTAATTTTAGACTATTTGCTCATCATCACTTGTCAGCTGTCCATCTACTTATGGTGATGTATATTTTTTCATGTAACCTAATAATGTAAAGGGAGAGAGAATGCTTATTAGATAATGTTGCTCATTTTAAGAAAGTGTATAAAATGGATTTAGATTGGGTGCAATTCTAGCCATCACCCCATAATAGCTAGCCTACACCCCACAACAGCTAGCCACAACCATCACCCCATAACAGCTAGCCACCACCCTACAACAGCTAGCCACCACCCTACAACAAACTGCTTACCACCACCACCACCCCATAACAGCTAGCCACCACCCTACAACAAACTGCTTACCACCACCACCCCATAACAGCTAGCCACCACCCTACAACAAACCGCTTACCACCACCTCCATCTATATAAAGACACACTGATTAATTTTAATTTACTATTTATAACTTTGTTTTCTGTAATTAAAACTAAACAGCTATTCTAATTATTTCCCCAGATCTCAGCACAGGAGTCACGACGTAAAAAGAAGGATTACATGGATGCTTTAGAGCGCAAAGTAGAAAAACTAAACACAGAAAACATTGACTGTAAACGACGCATAGAAGTTCTACAGAATTCCAATTCTCAGCTAATGTTGGAACTGCAACGTCTTCAGAATGTGGTTGAACAAGAAGAAAAATTTCGAATTAGATCATCACCCATAGCAACTCTTCTTGCCTAAAAGTGGTTAGTATTGCTGTGTACGATATTTGATTTTATTCTTCTGTTAACAAAAATCACAAAACATTATATAATTTGACAGAGACGTAGATTAAGATACTGTACATTATGTTTATCTCTTTTCAACATACCCACTGCGACACAAGTGTCTACAGAACAAATTTTTGATATGACTGAAATATTCAATTTGTACAGCTTTTCCAAAACTGTCATTTTTAAGTACTGTATAACATAGTTACCACATTTTGGCTCCATCCACTTATTGTCCCCAGACTAGTCTGATATGTATTGCTCTTCTCCTTCTTACCTGTTCAGTATTCAAGCATTTTCATAAAATAGTAAAGCTAATACAGTATTGGGATCAGTAGTGAGACATGTTAACCTTGTATCGGTGCCTCATGAGACAAGGACAAGTTGTCACCAGAAATATGTTGTGACCAATCTAGATATGCTTAAGGGAAAGAAATGAAAATGGTAGGCATATTTAACACGTATGTAGAGGTGTACATATCCCATATAAGAGCAAGTCGAGTTTTATTTCTTTATTCTAAATTTTTATTATCACTATGACCTGGTATGTGTGTGTGTGCTGAGATGGCCACAAACCACATCACTGTATCAGACCAAGCTAACCAATCTCACCTTAGTGTTGCCACTTCTGCAAGCTGTGAGAAATACTGTAGGTTAATTTATGTCATGTTAGCTATACAGTACTAAATTTTGATAATTACAGTATACTCCAGTACCTCCTGTACCTGTATTATCAAAGTTCATATTACTGATCCTTTATTATATTTCCTCATATTTTACATTATACTTAGCTCAAATATCATTATGTTCACCAATAAATAAAATAGATCTTGTCTCGTGGTAACAGTACATAAGTCACTATACAGTACACAGATTAGATGAAAAATTGTACTGTAGTAACTATGTCACCTTCGTTAGTATCTACACATATTACAGTTTACAACTTATGTTAAAATAAACAGCAGAATTAAAAAAATATAGCTTATTTTGTATTTGTTAACAAGTTGGTTCTCACATCATTTATTTTGTTTCAGGTGAGAATCGCCAGATATTCCACTACATGGTTTGTAGTTGGTTCATCATTCATTTCCACATTCATCTGCTTCTCTAAAAGATTTCATTAAGGTAAAAATCTCAATGGTTCTTTCATGACAAGTGCCTTTCCCTTGGACCCAAGTGGCATTATTATTACCTGAATAAGGATATGAATCAGGCTGTCTCGATGCATTCCACGACAATGAAGTTCATATTTACTGTTGTGTACTGTAGTATGATTTAGGATAATTCTGTTTGAGATCCTGATTAAATGTATATAATTTATGAAAATGGTTTTATAGTAGGCTAGACAAGTTTGACAGTGTAGGAGTTTAGGTTGTTGAAGAGGTTTTAGAGTTTAACTGTGAATTTTTTGAGTGTTGTACAGAGATGATTTAAGAAATATTAGGGTGATGACAATACTGTATTGTATGATTGAATGCCTCATTGTTTACTGTTAATACTGTACATTACTCTATTGGTTTCTGATGGTGGAAACTATCACCAACATCATTAATTACAGTATAATGTGTGAATGAAAAACTTTGGACTGGATTTTCAGGAATAGAAATAAATTAATGTGTCATTCCTGAATATTACAGATAAAATAATGCATCCATCTCAATATTTTATAGGGTCAAGGTGTGGATTTATATAAAGAGTAGAGACTGAATTGTCTATCTCATAAGATCTACTGAAAATTAATATGGTACAATACCATATTGTTGTGAAAATTTAGGATGCATTTTATCTCTTATTTGCCATCATAAGCTAGAGTTTAACTGGGCTTGTTATGTGTTGTCTCTGCACAAATATCTAACAATACAATGTTTTCTTTCTGATATAAATACTGTAAACATTTTTTTACTGAAGATAACCTGCCTTGTTTTCAAAGTACGTATCTGAGGAGCCCAATGTGACATGAGTGAGATGATCATTTTTTGTGAAATTTTTGCTGCATAACAGTATTTAATTCTTTATTTTTCTAAAGAATAATTCTTCGATAGAATAGTCTGAGGCAATTTTCTGCCTACTGAAGGTACAATGTATGGAAGGTATAGTAATCTGTGATTAACAGCGCTGAATATCAGAGTACGTAGTCAAACTACCATTTGCCTTAATGTTATTATGAGGATCAACTGAAGCTCTTTTAGTAAAGTACTTCTGAGCTTACGAAGCCATATCCTCATACAGTACTTACGGTATATTTTTAGGTACAGAACTAGTAAATACAGTACAGTATATATTTTTAGATTTTGTTTCATGAAAATATGATTAGCAGAATAGTAAAGAATATGGATTTAATGGATTAGCTTAGATTTGTGTTCATACACTGGCTCATTTAGACACAAGATAATGAGAAAGATATGACAAATATTTCAGGGAATTAGCCTAAACCAATGGGATTTGTTATAGACAATTATTATGAAGTGTTGGGTACCATAATTATATAGTATGTATTACTGTAAATTATGCCATTGCAATTTAATACAGGTATTCATTATATCCTAAGGGACTACTGCATTATGAATAAGATACACAAAGCATTAGTTCAGAATTCCCATGATTTACGTGAATGTAATAGTAAATCATCATACAATAATAATTTATTTAATTCTTCTGAGTATACCAGTTTACCACACTGTTATGGGGATAGCAATGCACCGTTAAGAATGTACGGATCACCTGTTATCCAGATATAAATATGACTTGCTAAAGTAGGTCATGTATGGTTATCAGATACAGTACTGTATAAGCTTCATATTATGTCTAGAGTGATAATCTCATAATAATTCTGATACAGTATATAGTTTATCCCTTCAAGTCAAGGCTGAGAGTTGAATGCTGTACTATTAGCGAGATTTTTTCTAATTTACAGATAATGATATCAAAATTGTCATCAGTTTGTTCAACACACACTCATTATCCCACACTCACCCAGGTGGTACAGTACATTGTGACTTCCCCAAACATTTATATTATTGACCACATCCACACCTCCAAGTTTTAGCTGTACGGGCATCTCCCGATCTACGATACTCCGCTTTAACAATGGTGATGTATTAAGACCACCCCCTATCTACAATGTAAACAATCTGCATGAGTGATGGTAATTGTCTGGCCAAAGCACTTTACAATCCCCCCCCCCCAAAAAATAGCAAAAATCACTTGTCACCAAAACAGAGTACAATGTGAACATTAATGATGTCCTCTCACTGTAAGGTAAAAAAAAAAACTGATGATTAGTTGAATTACACATCTCGGCCATGTGGCATCACCATAGAAGATACTACTGTAGTGCACCAGGTGGCTGCATGTCGGCACTCATGCTTGTTGTTGTCAACATGAGTGCCGCCATACAGCCACCTGGTGTACCAAGCTATCCTCTATGGTGATGCCACATGGCCGAGATGTGTAATTCAATGATTATCAGTCAGTATCAGTATTGTTACTTATCATCTTTTTTCTTGTTTTTTACAGTGAGAGGATATCACTCACATTCACACTGTACAGTGTACTTTGTTTTGGTGACTGTGATGTGATTTTTTTTTTTTTTTTTGTGACTGTATACTGTACTGCTTTGTTGCTCGTTGTCAACCTGTGAGCAGTGGTGGCCACTATCATTGTTTTTACATTTTGTGATAAGGTCATTCACTTTTTTGTGACTGAAGTGAGCAGGATTCTTAATGATGTGGTGAGTGTTGTTTAATTGTTTTATGTATATTATTAGTGTAAGAATTCTTTTTTCGGTGATACAAGCAGGTGTTGGACTGGCTGGGAACGTATCCCATTGAACCCCATGTTATAATGATCCCGATCTATGATATTTCACATAGCAATGGGTTTTCAAGAACGTAACCCTATCATAAATAAGGGGATACCTGTACCTGTACAGTTTTCTTGCACATCTCTCCCATATCATAATTCCCTCTTACTTTGAGGTTTCCATATCCCTTGATCCACCTCACTTAAAAGTAGGAAATGAATAAACAGTCACTCAAGCATCAACAATGAACATATTTGTTATTAATTCTACTTACCAATAGGGCTTGGTAAATAATTGATGTAAACTCTTTATGCAACAAAAAGTTAAATTGTGTTGAAAGGTTAATGGTTTGTTCAGTTGGCATAACAAGAGGGGACAAGAAACAAATAGAGGTTTATAAAGTACAGTATACAATTACAGCGGACACTATCTTTGAAGGGTAATATGACAAAAATATGTATAGGTAGTAAATCACCTTGTAGGGATGCCCTAGCTTGTATGTGATCAGGAAAATTAAATAAAATATGAAAGGCAATCCCAATCTGGTGTAGTCAAATGACTGAAGCATGTTTGACTCCTGGCTCCCTCTTTCTTTATAGAAATGACTTTAATCCAGGTAATCAAAGGAATTTGCCTTTTGACATTCTGAAACTTTCCTGAAAGTTCATTTGCAGAGAATTATGGAGAATCATGTCAGGTATAAATATACCATTAATATGAAAATATAATGTTTTTTCTCAAGAGATCTCCGATAGATAGTATGAAACTTCTAGCAAAGATGATATCTTAAGATATGTATTTTAATCACAATTAGTTTTATTGTTTTCAATGATTTGGATTGCCACTTCAAATTATCCTCTACATTTTGAAATGTAGAAAATCTTTTCACTTTCATTTGCTTCATACTGTATGATGTTAGATAGGTCAGGATAGGGTATAGAATGCCTTCATTCTAATGCTGCCTTGTTAGTCATGTATAAATGTACAAAGATAATATTTATAAGATTGAAGCATTTATTCTGATATTTTAAGAATTGAGAATAAGGCTATGATTATTTTAAGGTTAATGATGTATAGACAAGTGGACCAACCATGTCCATCACATTTGGGAAACACTTTTATTGCTTTTATTGTTATTTAGAAAGGTGTTTTCAGTGTGACTGTTTTAAAGCTGCTGTTCTGCTTGAATTTTAGTGCTTTAGAGTTGTATGATTTACTACTGAATGTCATAAATTTATATTGTGTCAAGGAACATTTCTGAGTATTTTTCACATATTACATTCAATTGTATAAGTCTAAAGCATTTTTGTGTCTTAAAGCAGAAAGTATCTTGTGTCACTACGGTGCAAGTACAATAATAGAATTATATGTTTGTATTATTTTTGGCCAAAGTGCAATGTCAAGGTGTTGTGAGGATTATGTATGGTTGGGAGTGCAGCTGTTGGTTACAAGAACAGTCTCGGTGTTCATACAATGCAATTATTTACTCACATCTTGATTCTCTGACACTTAACAATTTTATAGATGCTTCTATTATAAAATATAAAATATTTTTGCACAAAAGGATTATAAAAGAAGCACAAAAGCAGAAGTTGCTAAAAGTTACATTGTGAATCAAGCCTATTTTCTGTATTTTAATAATAGCAGTGTTTGACATTAGAAACTTGTTGCTCTACCCATTTCTGTCCCACCATCTCACTTGTGTGACAATATACACACATCAAATTTTTTGGTGTCTCATTTACCTGTTATCTTTTCTTCTTAGTATTAGTGTGATAGCTGTTTTAGTATCACATTATTTGTTTTAAATAAGTTCTGGAAATCTTTAAGTGGCTGGGCTTGATGTAAACACGTCTTGCTGTTTTTCTTTTATTGTCGAAGCAGCTATATACACAGATATATATCTATATATATATATATATATATATATATATATATATATATATATATATATATATATAAAATCAACTCCCACAAGAATATATATATATATATATATATATATATATATATATATATATATATATATATATATATATATATATATATATATATATATATATATATATATATACACAGTTAACCTCACTTTATCTGTCCCACATTCCTGCCACGGTGCCCTGCCGAACCCAGGATGTTGGGTGCGTGTACCCTTTACGCGAGAGCGGCTGGCGAGCGCCGCCATTTTTGATCCAAACCTCCCGCCATCCGCCATGTTGTGGAAGGCGCGTAATGATGAGTGACAAGGTCGCCCAGTCATCAAACATTACCAGTTCTTCACCCGCCACCCACACAGCCGCCCAAGTCAGTGATAGTGATAATTATGGTGAGGATATGGACTTATATGGACTTTGGGGAGTTTGACAAAGAGGCCCTGCAAGCCTCTGTATAGTGATACAATTGATACAAGTGACACAGGTGAGGGCCAATAATCTGCCCTCTGCCTCGAACCAACCGCCCATCCTCGTGCCCAGCCATTTTTCTACTAATGTAAGTGTTAAAACCTAATATTATTGATATTTCTCTTAATTATTAATTGTGTGTGCATACCATCATAAAGTTAAGATAATATTTTTACAACATAGTTGTGTGTCGCCAAAAAGTGGAGTTGGATCGCCCGACTCCATTTCAATTAATCCCATATGTTATGTTATTCACTTTATGCTTCACTTTTTTACGCTGACCTCCGGTCAGTAAATCACAAGAAAGTGAGGGTTAACTATATATATATATATATATATATACTCTGAGAATAAATTATGAATTCTCTCTAGAGAAGTATTATGAATACACTTTGAGAGAACACTTGAGTTACATGTTCACCCCTGATCAAGTGGTAAGGTTCTACTGGCACTTGCCACTCTCTGTCTCAGCGAGAGGTGTGGGAGCGAGCCAGCTGTTTTGATTACTGAGCTAATGTGCGCTCGACCTCTGAGATAGTTACAAGCTCGGCCGTGAATAATCGTCAACAGTCTAGTCATTGTTGAATAACTTGATGAATAAGTTGGTGCTATTCATTTGGGTGAATATTTATATAAAACAGAGGTGCTGTTACATTAGTTTTTATCAATAGTTTTTTTTTTTTTTTTGCATAAAAATGTTAAATGCCTTTATATCTCCAAATCTTCAAAACTCAATGGTAAAATTTGAAATAATTTCTAATGATTGTCTGCTGGTTTGGTTGTTAAGCAGGTGAAGCAGCCAGGGTCAGACCCAGACAGGGTAGTCTAGAGAGAGCACGGTTTGACCATCAAGTGTGCATAGGTAGTAGGTAGTAGGCAGCTACCAAACAGGGAGGTACTACCACCTGGGAAGATATTGGAAGCATAATGTGTTGTCTAATGGTAGACCCTGCTGCCATTTGGCATCACAAAAATTGTGAACAAGTCCCAGGTTGCTGATCTGACTTTCTGCCTCATTTACATACAATTGCAGGGTCTCAATTGTTTCACTTACTTTGACAACACAATATATGCAAGTATACAGTACAGGTATATCGTTTCTTACTTAGATCTTTTAATTTTTTTTTTTTTTGCATTTATTTTTGGTTCAATTTTTTTTTCACCCCACAGGCCTTGATGTGGGTTGGTGACCTGTGCCTGGGTGGGATAATCCGGTAAAAAAATACTGTACATAAACTTTTAATTAAAATTAATTCAACAGGTTAGGTTAATAGTACTGTACAGTATAGGATAATACTGTACAGAAAACAATGTGCTGGTTTTACTAATATTGTACAGTACTCTACTTAAGGAATATATACAAGACTTCATTATTATATAAAAATATATATTACAGTAATAATGAATGCTGTATTTATTTGCACTATATTATAATCAGAGTTGTAAAGTAACTAAATAAATTTACTTGAGTTCTTGTTAGTACTTTAACTTTTTTTTATGGGGAACAACCCACCTGGGCACAGGTCATCGACCCACACTAGGGCCTGGGGGGCCAAAAAATAAAAGTAAAAAGAAATTAAAAATGGAAGAGAAAAAAGACTAAATTAATCTACACCACAAAGATGCCGTTAAACCAGCTTTTTAAAGTGAGACATTGTATGAGTATGGAAACACAAAAGAAGGCAGAGCATTCCACAGTTTTTTACATTGTGAGGAAAGAAGCATGTACTATAAATGGTTATTCTACTGTGAGCAACATCCACACAGAAATGGTGGGCACTGCGGGCAAGACGTGTGTTACGAGCCCACAGGCCTTGCCGATGTAGCAGTTAAAAGTGAAGCGTTAGGTGAAAATGAAGTGCCAGACGTATGACTCATTCAGACAGCGGCGGACAGCAGTCAGTTGGCTTTGCTCTGCAGTCAGCCTCAGTTGAAGTCAGTTCTGCTTAGATGATGGACATGCATTCCTATGACACGTACGTGCTTATACATTTGGTATTGCTAAAATAATATTATTTTAATACAGTTTAGTGAGTGTTACCCTAAGGTCAGGATGTTATGTGGATGATATTACAGTACGTACTGTATATTAATACAGTTTAGTGAGTGTTACCTCAAGGTCAGGATGTTGTGAGTGTTACCCTTAGGTATATATACAGGGATCCCCCGCGTTACGGAACCCCGGGTTGCGGAATTTCGCTCTTACAGAATTTGTAAATTATGACCAATAATTTTGTGATACTGCCCATAAATCCGCCCTTACGGAAATTGGGGTAAATTTTAACAATTAAAAAAAAAATCACTAAAATTAAAAATTTTTGTTAAAAATTATAATTTGTTTGGTGTGGATTTCTTGCTGTTTGCTACCGCCAAGTGTGCATCGCCATGCGGAGTCAGTCCATTTGTTACATCCAGTGTGCACGCATGTTTCTCGTCCCAGCAGTTGGATTTAACTTTTACAAACATTCAGTAAGTACAGTACAGTACAGAGCATTACCCTTATTCAAGATGACTGGAAAGAGGCCATCAAGTGGAAGTGACCGCAGTAATGCAAAAATAAGTCGCAAAGGCATTACATTGGATATTAAACTTGATGTTTTAAGAAGGTATATCATAAATTATTTAATGTACAGTACTGTATTGTATGTGTTTATAAATGTTTATTTTCATTCATAAAAGTGCTTGAATTACTTTTTTGGGGACGAAAAAAATTCCTTAGGAACACATCTCCAGTTTTATAATGGAAGTCAATGGGAAAATAGGTTTCGTGTTACGGAATTTTGCGATACGGTCAATTTTATAGGGACACAACCCTTCCGTAACACGGGGATGCCTGTATATATTTTACTTTCGGAAATAGTGCGCCCGAAAGTTATAAACATTTAGATCTCCCTATTCTGAGCATTTTGAACCCCATATATACCAGGCTGGAAGGAAGGTGTAGGTGTGCTATTTACTGTATGATGTATGGGCCAAGTGTATGATTGATTTTCCACCAGTCTGCATTTTAAGAAAAGTAGAATGTTTTAAAGCTGAAACGTGACTCTGATAAGTTTTTTATCAAGGATTTCAAAAATAAACTTTATTTTTCTCTTGCACGTCACATTTCATTACCAATAAGACAAGATAATATAACTTATACATATACATATACAACATACAAATATGACAAGATAATACAAATAAGACAATTCAGTTGGCTTCAAAGTTAACTAAACCTAAAGATTATTGTGATTATATTTGTCTGCAAATACAGAAAGAAATGATATACAGTACTGTACTGTATATCTACTTTATCCTCTTCACCACTGATCGGCTCGTTAGCTGCTTGGGTGATCGGTCACGTCTCTGTTATGCACTATTGGCAAGTACTGGGCATGTATGAACATAATATTAGGCTTCTAGGATGGGTGAACTTTTTTTTTCTCGATTTTATGGCAATCTTTTCACTGACAAAATCTCTTCAGCATCCAGCAATATTCTGCCATCATGTTCACATTCCACCTTAATGTCTTGGTAAAATCTTTCACCTTGCTCTTCACTTAAACTACCAAAATTTTCAGGAAAATACTCAAGGTGGGAATATAAGAAATGCACTTTTACACTCATATTGCAACCCATGTTTTTAAAGTCATTCAATTTACAGTTACCTTCAACAATGTTTTGATACTTTAGATCTTTTCTATTGTCTAAAAAACTAAACACAACATTCTTGAAACTATTCCATGCTTCTTTCTCACACTGGTTCATCATTCTTCAAATTGGTGGTCCAACATAAACTTTCGGATTTGAGGGCCCACGAAAATGCCACTTTGATTTTTTTCAAATGTGACTGATGGAAATTCCCTGCATATGTACTTGAAACAATCACTTTCCTTATCTATGGCTTTTACAAATTGTTTTATTAACCCTAATTTAATATGCAGAGGAGGCAACAGCACTTTCTTAGGGTCAATCAATGGTTCATGTAGAATATTTTTTGAACCTGGCACAAGAGCCTGTCTAGGTGGCCAGTGTTTTTTGTCCCAATGTTCACGTCTTGCTCTGCTGTCCCACTTGCACAAAAAACATGGCATTAAGTCTCCACAATCCAACCAACCATGATCTTTATAATGAACTTTCTCTAGAAGTATCTGCAAATTTTTATAAGTTTCCTTAAGATGAACAGAATGAGCCACAGGGATTTATGAAAATACATTTCCATTATGAAGTAAAACTCCTTTGAGACTCGTTTTTGAAAAATCAATGGACAACCTCCATTCAGTAGCTGTGTAGGTAATGCCAAAATAGTTAATTAAAGCAGACACATTACTACAATAAACCAAG